TATCGATCAGTTTATATATATATATATAATATATATATATACACACACATACATACATACAGAGTGTCCCGTAAGTTTTGGCCAATCACTTTTGTGTAGATAGAGCGGACTAAACTGAATCAAAAAGTTCTTTACCATTTTGCAATTTTCGCAATGGTTAACAAGATATTAATTACTATAAAAATTGCCGAAAAATTGATTTTTAATAATTTTTTTCTCAAATACTATCAATTTTACAGAAAAACTGGAACAGATAAAAATTGTTTATTTTCTTCTCATATAATTCTCATAATTTTTTTAGTATTTTTTATTAACTTTTTAGTACTGCATTTTCTTATTGGCAACTATTTTTTACATGAGAAAATACGATATTAAGAAATTCTGAAAAAATTCTCAGAACTTTATGAAAAAATAAAAAAATAATTTTTGTCTTTTGCAGTTTTTCTGTAAAGTTAATAATATTTTAAAAAAATTATTGAAGATCAATATTCGGCAATTTTTAGTAATTAATATCTTATTAATTATTGCGAAAATTGCAAAATGATAGAGGACTTTTCGACTCAGTTTAATCCACTCTACCTGTCCATGAATGTGGTCGGTTGAACTTCCAAATACCCTGTATATATTCCGGATGTTCAAAATAAAGCGTTACAAATTTTTATCTCGGAAACTGCATTATTGAGAAAAATTGTTCAAATAAAAGTTGCAGGGTTCAAAAAGATTTGTTTACTGATCTTATCAGTTTGACTTTGAGTGATGTCGCCAAGGTCAGATCAAGATAACGTCGATTTTTAAAAATGGAAACCCTAAATTTGATTCCAGAATCTAATAGCCGATGTCGACAGCTTTCCAAAACACTATAATAAAGTTATTTTTTATTGAGTATTTTTCGAGTTATAATGCTTACAGTACCACTGACATTAGCATTACCCAAGATGCCCGACCGACGGTTAAAACCTCTTGAATGTTGTTCAGGGCAGAGAGAAACCTGAGTCATACCGGTTTTTTTCCTGTTACCGTCGAAATCTATGTGATTATATAAAACTATATGATTATTTTTCGAAAGATTATCGGTACGCTTCTATCCTGTAGTCACATAGTTCCCAAACTGAAAATGGATGTACGGGCGATTTCAACGGTAACAGGAAAAAGTGATACTGTAACTTTCAAGCATCATAACTCAAAAAGTACTTAATGAAAAAATATTTTCTTAAAACGTTTTGGAAATCTCTCGACATCAGTTATTAAATTCTGAAAACAAAAGTAGGATGTTCCATTAAAAAAAATTAATGTAATCTTGATCTAACCTTGGCGACGCCACCCAAGGTCAAATTGATAAGATCAGTAAATAGATCTTTTGTCTAAACAATTTTTTTCAATAATGCCGTGTTTCTGAAAAAGTTTGTGACGTTTTATTTTGAACACCCGGTATATGCGGTGTGTCTCAATAACTATTACCACCTGAAATATCTTCTAATCTATAAGGTGTAGAGAAAAATTTATATAAACAAAATTACACGGTGTAAAGGGAGCTATTATATAGTGATAATTTTTGTGCAGGTGAAGGCGCGCGCGCTTCGGAGATTTCAAGGTTAACTTCGTTTTTTTTAATGGAATTATATGAATTTTGTTTACATAATATGATTCCTTTAATTATTCTGCATATGAAAGTATTAAGATAGTGATATAAAAAAACCTATAGTTTTACAAGATGTTTTATACCTTATTCTGGAATATATTGACCTAAAATGTTAAATAACTCGTAAACTATTAATTTTTTTATAAGCATACCTTCATACTTTTATGAAAAGAATAATGAGATGATTGGTGGAAAAGAGACAATTGGTGGAAAGAAAACACATGGTTGCTTTAAAAAAATATGTATGCAAAATGAATAACTTTTTAAATAATTAACTATGTGTTTTCTTTCCATCAATTATCTACCTTAATATTTTTATATGTAGAATAATTAGAAAAATCATATTGTGTAAAACAATCGTACAATTCCATTAAAAAAAGTGGAGTTGACCTATAAAGTCTCAAAAAATATGACCTTGAAAAAATTCTTTGCTGATCATAATATGTATGATATGTACCCCTTCAAATTTTGAACAACTTTCTCCTTTAGTATTTTCTCATACATTAAAAACAACGGAAATATTTCAGACGCTAAAATTAGAGAAAACACCCTGTACATACATACCTAATGATAATATTTCGAATCTGGAGACACGGTAGTGTCTCGGCGCTAAGACATGGCGTGAGACATTACCGTGGCTCCTGTACGCGTAATATCAAACAAGAAAGATGTATGTACGTACAATGTCGATTGCTCATTCTTTATTAATGTGATTGGCACGTTACAAAATTTTGTGATATAATAATTGGGTTATAGAGGGCCGAAAAAGAAAATTGTGCATTTTAAATTGTTTATCTCTGTCAGCGTATAACAGTAGGATTATGTTATTCTTCATTTTGCAAACAATTAATTTTCTCCCGCACCCCACCCTGTCCCTCTCGTGCCACATATATGCACGCACGCACGCATACACACTCACATACGCGCGCACGCACGCACGCACGCACGCACACACAAAACTTATTATTTATAGCAATATACGCGTATTGTTAGCAATATTTATTAAAGACGTATAGCGAAATATTATTTGCGCTTTGAATGAAAGTTGTATTTTATTGTAAATTATCGCATGTGAGCTACTATTAGCAAGAAAGAAGACCAAACTTTATGTATTTAGTATCTCGAGCTATAGGGCGCAAAACTCTTGTGTCTGTAGATTTTGTAGTATATTTATATCGTTTGTCATATTCTTTCTCTCTCATGTGAGGCTACCACGAAAAAGGTAGTGAGATGCGTATACTATATTTTTTATTTTATTCATTCGAAAACAAATTAATTTTTCTGTGTAGAATAACTATTATTAATAAAAATAAAAGAGCCCATCGTATAATTACTCTTAACATCATTGAGATTATTTTATTTTTCTTTTAGTTTAAAATGTGCGAAATAGAAGATAAAGTTTAAAATATAAATTCAAACACTGCTTTCTGCTAAACACAGTTCTGCTTCTTTCTTGATGCAACGGTCGTGGATCTTTGAGTTCTATGTGATCCTTAGGCCGGTATTCATAGTCAGATCTTATATTCAAGACCGTCTTATGGTACGTTTCCACTAAGCGCGTCACGCGTCGCGTCGTCCATCGCGTCACGACGCGACTCGAAAGAGAGAAAGAGAAGGGTTGTGCACATATATAAACTTCTTTCTCTCTTTCGCGTCGCGTGACGCGCTCAGTGGAAACATACCATAAAGGGGATCCTAAAGCAAAGCTTGAATTCCGACGAAATCACTAGATGTCGCGCTGCGCGCCGCACATCGACATGTCTTTTTATACTGTCACAGCCATCGAGAATGGACCGCTGATAGCAACGGTGGGGGTAGAAAGACGATTAGAGTGAGAGACAGGAATAAAAAGATCGTTCTTTCTCTATTTACTGAAGCCTGATTGGTTGTTGTTAATCCAACAACCAATCAGGCTAGTTGGAAACAACAGTAAACAAAGAAAGAACGATCTTATTATTCCTGCCTCTCACTCTAATCGTCTTTCTACCCCCACCATTGCCATCAGCGGTCCATTCTAGATGTCGATGGTCACAGCAATATCTCACGCAACTATGGCCGGTATTCATAGTCGATTCTTATTTCAAGATCGTCTTAAGTAATGTCTTAAGACGCTAATGCAGCCCTCTGATTGGTTCATGACATATTAAGACTGTACTTAAGACAGTCTTAAATATAAGATCTGACTATGAATACCGGTCAGAGGCCGGTATATACTTATTGTGTGTAAGTACATACTATACTTCTTTCTTTTTCTAACAATTTAACTTTTCTCATGTAATGCATCAGCTGTCATCAGCTTATAAAGGTGCTTTTTCATGCCGACGTTCGACGCTCATTTTCGGCGTCAAAATATGTCACGTGATAGAAATTGGCGAATATCAAGCGTCTATCTTGATATTGTGATTTATTTTGACGCTGAAACAGCTGAAAACGAGTGTTGAGTGTCAGCATGAAAAGGCACCTTAAGTACTTATACAGGGTACCTATTATGGAAATAATCGGAATGAATTCCGATCGGAATTATTCAATTATTCCCTAGATTTCTATTGTGTTTTCTGGGGAAAACGAAATAATTCCGATCGGAATCCATTCCGATTATTTCCATAATAGGTACCAAGGGCTGCGTTCAGGAATTATGCCTAGATAACTCTAGGGTGCATTTTTGCTATAATATACGTAACGTAATCTATAGCTTAGAGTTATCTGGGTGTAATTCCTGAACGCAGCCCTGAATTAAAATGTCGATGACGACCTAACCCAACCGACGCAATGTCGCATCTCTGGGGCTCTATTCTGGAAAAGAAACGTATACGAAAATCTAGAAAAATACTATAGTATATGTAACATATACTATAGCATTTCCCTAGACTTTCGTATACGTTTCTTTTCAAGAATAGAGCCCCTAGTATCTAGACCTCTTGTGTCGTCAAATGAAAAGTATTGGAAAGCACCCATAATCGATCCCCTGATTCCGGCTTTATTCTGCGTTATTCCGAAAAGCGCTAATTTCAATGGGCGAGTTCAAGACGGCAAAACAGCTAGGCATGCTTACCGTGCGATTGAATATGATTGGTTGGATCTATAAGTAACAACCAATTATGTTCATTTGCTTGGCGAGCAGACTAGCTGCTTTCTGATAGCGTTTTCGGCCCGACCGGGTTTGCACCAACCTGGGTTGGATTAATGGCGTTTTGCGCTCTCCTATTGGTAGAACGTGTGACATCAACCAATAGGAAAGATTAATCCAACCCAGGTTGGTGCAAACCCGATCGGGCCGAAAACGCTATGAACTTGAACGCGCCCTATGACGCATTTTCTATTCCGCAGTCAATTTTCGCACCGTGTGATTTCACCCTTACATCTTGTTGTATAGACGAACCCATCACTTCACTATCATTTCACTCATCGAGCTCCATGTTTATGTTAAACAATTTAGTACAATTGAGGTCTGTTTTCTTGTGATTGAGCTAGTATATACTTTTGGAAACTTAAGTGAAATGACATGTTTGATATTTGACAAAAGCAAGAAATCAAGTTCTAGTGCAGTCTAGTGCAGGAATAAAAAACAGTCCTTTGGTAACCTTTGGTGTCGGCCCAGTGAGTAACTCGAAACGAGAGATTTGTTGCTTGATTTGCAACATTAAAGAAAGTTCGGCGAACTTCCGACACTCCTCCCAATACAGAACTCCCGTTTGTGACCTTTCTTCTGTAATTTGATTAAGAGAAATTCAGCGGTGGTTCGCTCGCTCAATGCGTCTATCACGGCAGTGAAACCCCAAGTGACGACGACGACAACTACAACAACAACATCAACAACAACCACCACCCGTAAGTACCATATGTGGCATGTAATTTCTTTCACACCGTGTATGTGCACTCTTGATTCCTGTTACTTGAATCTTATGTTCATTTAACAGCTATTTCATGATTCATGCTACTTTTGTGAGTTCTAAAGCGCTAACCGAGATTGCAAAGACTCTTACAGGTGGGAACAATTAGCAACAGCTGCATTTTCCATAAACAACTTCAATTAATTCAACTCTACGCCATACAATGGCCGAGTCCAGTGACTTGGATCGGCAAATCGAGCAGCTTAAGAAATGTGAGATTATCAAGGAGGCTGAGGTCAAAGCTCTATGTGCAAAGGCACGAGAGATTCTAATTGAGGAGAGCAATGTACAACGTGTTGACTCACCTGTGACGGTAATTATTTCTATTTCTCATAAAAAAGCAATCAGATTGTCAGAATCAGAATGCTAAATATGTTAAATTCTACATGGTGTGTTTTCTTTAGGTTTGTGGAGATATCCATGGACAGTTTTATGATTTGAAGGAACTATTTAAAGTAGGTGGAGATGTGCCAGAAACAAATTATCTTTTTATGGGAGATTTTGTAGATCGAGGTTTTTATAGTGTTGAAACGTTTCTTCTTTTACTTGCATTAAAGGTATGCCAAAATATAAAACAATATCAATCTAATAACGTTAAATGTCTGAATAGCGATTAAGAAGCAAAACACAGGTTGCTTTTTTATTTTATATGAATGTATGAATTTTAATTTATCTGTATATTTGAATAAAAATTATTTAAGAGGAATTAAATCTAAAATAGCTGATAGATATGCTATTATAATATAATTTTATAGTTTATGTCTTGTCACAGGTCCGTTATCCTGACAGAATTACTTTAATAAGAGGAAATCATGAATCACGGCAAATAACACAAGTTTATGGTTTTTATGACGAGTGCTTACGCAAATACGGCAGTATAACAGTATGGCGATATTGCACAGAGATATTCGACTATTTATCATTATCTGCTATTATCGATGGCAAGATCTTTTGTGTTCATGGTGGATTATCGCCTAGTATCCAAACATTAGATCAAATTCGAACTATCGACAGAAAGCAAGAAGTGAGTTACGTTCTGTTCATCATAATTCTTTTGTAACAATCGAATAGAATTGATATTTATTTATTTTGCCTTATTGATGTTGCAGTTTTAATATGTTGTTTGGTTGTATACACCTCACAGATCTGTGACTGTGTATATTTCAAAGCCTCCAAACTGATTTCGTTAAGGTGGTTCTTTAGTAAATCGAGTTACTATAGAAATATCTATTTTCTTTGTACATATAATGAAGTTGAAGTACTTGACGTGTGCAAAATTCTAGGCTAGATTAACGATAAAATGAGAGAGAAAAATATTGAAAATGTAATTTTTAACGTATAACTTAGTGACAGGTAAGGATTGGAAACATTTCTTTGACTGCACACAAACATTGCCATAGATCTTTTTAAAAAAAAACCAGATTATAATAGTTAAAAAATTATGATTGTAATGGTCACGAACAAGTAATAGTAGGTCAACGGCCATTCTGGAAAGATTTAACCCTTCGTGATCATACTTCCTGAGAATTTTACATCGGTCACACAGGGGGCAAAATAGCCCCAACACTTAATTGATTGCTATATTTACAACTTTTATTCTTTAAAATCACAAAAATTACTGAACATTGTAGAACATGGAAATGTAGTGGCAGTTTTTAAAGAATTTAATTTTAACATATTAAAAAAAATTGCAAGATAAAAGTTCTTGAAAGATGCACTTTTTTACTAAAAAGAAATCATAAATTTTTAATTTTTAATACTTTTGATAAAAATTTATGACTATACTCTACAGATATAACACTTTTAGAAAAAAAAATAGTGCAACAGTCCGTGTTTCAAAAAAGGTATTTATTCTGAAGAATAAAGGAAACCATTTTTTTTAAGTGTGAAGTTAATGTATAAAAGAGTATTTATTTAACATAAAAATATGACTTTTTTTTAGAGATGTAAAGCCTCAAACCTTTTTTGGGGTCCCATGGACTCCTGATGACCACAAAGGGTTAATGCTAAAATGGCAAGATATCGATTAACACATAATCTCAACTTATTTTCGTTTGGTGAAAATATAGCTCTTGATTTCATTGCAGATTGCAATAATTTTTCTCTTTTCTCTTCAACTTTCTTTTTTACAAATTTTTCTTTATAAAAATCTCGCTTGCAATGCACATTGTAATTCAACGATGTAATGTTACCAAATTGTCACAAAAACAAATTGTATAAGAAGTATCTTTTTATTTCATCACTTGCACGCTATCGTGTGTTTTGTACTATTTTATTAAGATATACACTTGGTTTTAATGTTTTATCCAATTTATGAAGATGTTTGTGATTTTGGGCCCTGATGAGGTACCCCAAATTTTCGATATTTTACTAAAGAACCATTTTAAAATTGTTATTTTAAAAAGGAATTATAAGTTTCGCTTTTGTAGAAAAAAATTATCAGAATCAGTATCTAAATTCTGTAACTATTAACGACATTGTAGGTATCTGAAAAAGCAGCTTTGCACAACTATTAAATATTCTTTAATGTGATTGGTTTATACATCCGGATAAGGAACTAAGGATGAACCGATCATATTACAGACTCTTACAACAATTGTAAAGCTACTTTTACTACTGAACGCAGCCACTATACATGATAAAAAAGCTACATAATAACATTGTAATGATACTGAACTGTCCCTAAAGTTACAGAATTAATTTGAGGAACTTGTTTGCCCAATCTCTATGGAGAACTAGATTTTATTTTAGCTTGTTTATTGGTATTATTGTTCAAGGTTTCTATCCTCCATGACACATTATTGTGATTAGTTTATTGTGCCTAGTATATTTTTATATCTTGAAATTTATTGTTAATTTATTGTTAATTTTTTATCAGTAAAATATTTTTTAAGTGGCTCTGATAGTGCTGTTGTGCTGAACAAGGAACTTTCATATCGGCTCACCAGTTGTGTAATAATATAAAACGCGAATTTTAACGTGAAAGAAATTACCATAAAATTGTTAATTTAAACAAACATTTAGGGCTACACATCATTTATAAACTATTTTACTGGCAATAGGTTTATTTTATGTTCCTGTACGAGGATTGTTTATTTTATTGACTTCTGCATCAACTTTGTTTATGACTATTTTATCAATTTGACACTTTTTATTTTTATTTAATTTACACTAATTTTTATTTATATGACATTAAAAATGGCTTAATTTCGACCGAAACGTTTATGATTAATTCTTCTGTTAATTGTTAACGGAATTATTTTAAATACAAGACTTTCAGAAAAGTCTCAGTGTTGTGGCTTTATGTTTCTTTTATTTATTGTTATTTTTTAATATTTTTTATTCAAAATTCTTAATGTTAAAATTTCAGGATAACAATAAGTCTTGGTATTGAACTTGAATCTTTTGTGTTTGACGAACAACTGCCTTAGAACTGCCCTATTCAACACCGCACAGTTTCAATATTAATTGAATTTTATTACATTTAAAAGTTTAAAGTCTTTGATTTTTTAAGCGTTGAAATGTTACATATTTCTCATTTAATGGTGCAGGTTCCTCACGATGGGCCAATGTGTGATTTACTATGGTCAGATCCTGAGGATACCCAAGGCTGGGGTGTGTCGCCGCGCGGCGCCGGTTATCTCTTTGGTAGCGACGTGGTAGCTCAGTTCAATTCTGCCAACGATATCGATATGATATGTCGAGCTCATCAACTAGTAATGGAAGGCTACAAGTGGCACTTTAACGAGACTGTATTGACCGTCTGGTCTGCGCCAAATTATTGTTACAGGCACGTAATATTTTTATTTGCAATTTCTCTCTCTAGTAAAATTTTAAATATTGTAAATTACATACAGGGTGTCACAAAAAGGTCAAAATACTGCATTATCTCGGAAAGATGCGTTTTCGGAAAAAAATTGTTCATATAAAAGTTTTAGGGTACGAAGTTACTCATCATATAATATTAGTTAGTAAACAATAAGAATAATATTAAACTGTTGTACCCCTCATAGGGATAATAATGAAGATTCAGGCCGAAGGGTTAGAAATTCACAGAATTAATGTTTGTTAACAAAATTTTAATTACATTCACAAACACTTTACAAAATGTCTTGTCGGTTATTCGCCTTGCGGTCAACGATGTTGCACAGTTCGGCTGTTGCATTGCCGAGAGATAACGTACTGTTTCGTTCGCTATATAGTGTGACACTTTTAGATTATAACTTAACGTACTTGACGCAATGTATCTACGCTTATTACTCGACTTCTGAATTCTCAGTTCACGATACAGGTATACTAATCTAAGATACTGAGTTGGTCAGCTGATTTGAGTCTTGCCCTGGTTCCATTGTCAAATGCGGTCGGTGCTGACCAATCGCATTTGGCAATCAATTGAAATTATGCGACATCGTATGGAAAGAATCATGTGATTGTCGCCACTGTACTACTTGAACGTACTCCTTTTAGTCATAAATCGCGAATTAAACGTTTTTGAAATTATTCGAATTAGGCCGGTGTTCTGAAACTTTAACGCAATCGTGCTACTTTTTAATTAATGATGTTCTATTCTATTCTAAATACTAATTGTAATTATGGCTACAACAAAACTTTGAATGATCTTGAGAATGTCACATTAAGATTACCTTGAGTTTTTTAAAAAGGAAATCATGCTTCATGGATACGCGTGTGCATGTGTATATTCCGAGATATTTAAGGACTCCAAACAGCGGTCGATCAGCCAGCCAAGGGAAGATTAATCCAGGTAATCCAGTAATCATCAGTAATCATCAACCAATTTTGACTTGACCGGCTGAATCATCGATCGCTGTTTGGAGTCCCTAAACAGATCGGAATATACATAAGCGTGAATGCCAAAGGAAATTCACTTTAATAAAGTATAATGAAGAAGTGCAAATCGAACTGTGCGATCTCTGCGTGGTGTACTTTGGATAAGGCCCGGCGTTACTTATACTTTAGTGGCATGTATTTTCGAGTAGTTTTTGGCCAAATGGAACTTAATTATTTTGATATTGGTATGCTATATAGATATATACTGATACAGTTAATATAACTGTTTTGAAAAGGTCTAGACATCAGCTATAAAAATTTTTAATAAAAAATGATAGTTCCCTTTTTTTTAAAGTCAAGGTGACTTTGATGTGATATTCCCAAGATTATTCAAGATCAAGTCACCAGTATCACCACATGATAGATAACTTGGTACCCTACAATTTTTGTATCTGACCAAATATATTACACAATTATTTACAACTAATTTTAAAAAGGCAATTGATTGAAACGATCTTTGAATATCGCCATAACATATAAACCAAAAAAATATTTATGTATAATCTAGTTATAACGATATGATCCTTATGGAAACCTCCCTTTTATAGCAATAGTACGATTTTTGTACCGTTCAGTCTTTAAAGCTTCAGTCTTTATATATTTTGTTTCTGTAAACTTTTTTGTCACTTTTTATCACTTCTACAATTTTAATAAAAGAAATCTTTTTACCCTTCTATCAGTATTATTTTTACGTTTATTAACCTTTTCGATACGACATTATTTTTCGTCACTTTATCTCTGCTATATAAACAGTCAAATTGCGAATAACGGCATTGTACGGGACAATTATGATGCGAACGTCATTTCATCGGAGGAACATAGCAAATTAAATTTTATCGTGTAATGTAAAGTATTGGTGGAAAGAAATCATACTTAAATGTGTTTTATAGTAATAACACTTAAAAAATTGTTAAATTATAGTTGTCATTAGTGCACGGCGAGCACTAATTCAACGCTGGACGTCATAGTCGTCGTAGTATCGAACGGGTTAAAAAATGTATTGGCCGCAGCACAGACTTTTGCATAACGCATAGTGCATAAGCGAATCAACTAATCAGAAGCTTTCCTTTCCTCTCATTCCATGGAAAAGAAGAATTTCGATTGGTTGATTCCCTTATGCACTATGCATTATGCATTATGCAAGAGTCTGTGCTGCGGCCATATGAATGTAATTATAAATATCTGGATACCTAAATCTTTTTATATTAATTATACATTTTATAATTGCAGATGCGGCAATGTAGCTGCAATACTGGAACTAAACGAGCATCTACAGAGAGACTTTACGATATTTGAAGCGGCACCACAGGAAAGCCGTGGAATACCCAGCAAGAAGCCACAAGCAGATTATTTTTTATAAACGCTGTTGTAGAGTATAAAAGAAACCATCAGAATCAAGTCAAAATTGATTTGAAGAATTTGCTTTTCTTCTCTCTCTCTCACACACACACACATACATGCGCGCGCGCGCGCACACACACACACACGAGGGGGGGGGATCAGTTTACATTGTGAAAAGCAACTAAAAATGAGTGAATTAAAGAAAATTTTCTATTATTTTTGATGATATGATTTCTATGATTACGTTGGACCATTTAAATTTGGATGGAACTGCGACAGTATGTGTGACTGTAAAATAAAATAAAATGCCTCAGATTTAAATCGATATGACATCATTATCTTTCACAACTTACGTTTCCGAAAATATTCAATATTGTGTAAAGATATTTAAATAAAAGCAAATTAAACCTTTTTTATGCTTAATGGAAACAAGTTTCATAAGTAATCTTTTGGAATCTCAATGGATTCCCCTTTATCCCCCATAGTAGTTGACGTAAGGTGTTTTGCTTGACACATCTTAGGACCTCTCACCAACTGCGATTAACTTAATCGGTCGGGCAAAAAAGATTTATTTATTGTATTTTAAACTTATTTTTTGGACATACATGTACATATAAATTTCTTTTATATCAGCTTTCTCGTATTTTCATACATATATAATTACATAATATTTCTTTTTATACAAATATACATTTTTAAGACGGACTGCGTCATTAATATTTTTCTTAATTTTTCTACATTTTTCCTTTATTTTTCAATATATTTACAATTTATTTTTATTAATTTTCATAAAGTTTAAATTATTTCATTTCAATAGTAGGTTTATTCGCGTTGCGTGCACTAAGGGCCGATTGTTCCATCTTTTGGTAAATTTTACCTGTGAGGTAAATCTAGTAATCCGTGCATGTGATTGGATAATCTTGCTACTTACCCAACAGATAAAATTTACCAAAAAGTGAAACAACCGGCCCTATGGCTGGAATCGGGGTGATCCCGATTGATCACGGCTCGATTGGACACCACCAATCACAGCGACCGGTGCTTAGGAGCTTTGTAGTCTCAAGCGCTGTGAGTGGTTCGTGTCCAACTGGGTGCCACTCGGCGGAATCAGATTATGCATTGAAGATTGAAATTTGACCAATGAAGACAAAGCAATTTTAGCTCCTATTGTTTTGATTGATCAAACTTCAATCTTCAATCTCAATCTTCAAAGCATAATCTGATTCCGGCCTAATTTCACCGTCTTATGCGGGGTCTACAATAGAAGTCGTAGCAGTCGTAGGGTCTTAAGTCGTAGAAAATTGACCAATCATAGTCGATTATTCTTTTCATATTCTACTGTGATTGGTTAATTTTCTACGACTTAAGACTCTACGACTGCTACGACTTCTATTGTAGACCCCGCATAAAATGTACTTAAATTTTGGTTCAACCGACTCCTCATGAGGAATAAGTCCTTACTTTACATCGAATACTTGATACGCGTAGTAACTTTCTATTAAATTACCCTAAAGCTAATAATCCATTGGAGTAATAGTCCATTGGAATTGGCCAATCGCCATCTGTCGTCCAACAAAATGACAAATGCGATTG